GAAAAAGCTACATAAGAATATTTCATGATCGGTAACAGGGCATGACAAAAACATCTATAGTCTTCAACAACCTCTATTTACCAAAGTCATGATGAGGCTAACCACACATTCTCACAATCATATCAGTACAAAATGTCCACCATCCCAGTTTTGAGATCATATTTGACCAACCTCTTATGAAGATCAGTTAGCATGTTTTGATTAAACTTTAACTGAAAGAGACAAATTCTCACATACTTTGAAATAACACTGATTTTGAAACTTTCCATAAGTAGAATATTATCAGTAAACAGAAAGTTGATAATCCAAAAAACACAGTAGAACAGAAATCAACCAGCATATTGCTAAAATAGATTTCTAATACTTTTAACTTAATATGGTTGCTTACAGTAGCAAACTTGAAGGAAATCCAAAGACAGGCAATTATCAAATATAACCATACAACCCCATCACCTATAGAGGAAATATGTAATAGCTCTTTATCACATAATTCAAATCCTTTCATTCAATATAATACAATATATCCTTTCCCAGATATGCATAAGACAAATTGACAACATAGAAGACAACATATTGCCAACTCCCTCATTCACCCCCTTAAAAATACTAATTTTAACCTACACTTCCAGTGAACATAAAAAGCCATGAATTCTCCTCCACCTATCAACTTTTCAATTCAAACCGCTTAATTAAATACCTATGATCAAACAATTTTACCTATGATCAACCAATTAATGAAAATTTCGAAGTGGAATTCAACTAACCCAGTAAAGAAATCACGAAATTTGACTGAGATGGAAAGCTTACCAGTAAAAAGAATTGAAAAATCAAAAGAATGAGGCAGTAAATGTAGATGGAGGTGACAAGAAAAGAAAAGTTTTAATTTTAATTAATTAACCCTAAATAAATTATTAATATTTATTTTTAAGTGCTTAAAATTTAAAATTTTATTTATTAATGAGATGTCATTGTATTATTCACTGATAATGTATAGAAATGATACACTATCAGTGTATGAAATATTAATTCTTGTTTTATTTACTTGGCATTATTCATTATTGGTGGTAGATATGGTTATTAATTTTTAACTCCTTACATCATATATTGTCCATCTTTTGTTGGTGTTATTCAAATATAATAACATCTTTAAAGATTTTTAACTCTTCAGGGCATGGTAAAAAGTAAATTTGATAATTTTAAATAAGATAATATGACATGAAAATTATATAAAAAATTATATTAAAGTGATAGGATTTAAAATTTTTAAAAAATTATATAAGTTTGATAAAAATTAAAAAAATATTTCATATTTAATGTATAAATATGAATTGTGATATGTTAATTGTTGTATTTTATATGTATTTGAAATATAACATATATAAAATAAATATACGAATTATTATTTATTAAGAAGTTGAACTTCAATTGTAATTATTATTTACAAAAAGTCACTAAACAACCTATTTTTTCGGTACTTCATATGGTTTAATCTAAATAAACATTATTTTCATTACTCATCGATCTAAAATGGACAAAAATGGTGATCTAACAAGGTACTACCAAGTGAAATAAATTTAACTAAAGAAGGTAATTAAAATTAGATTTGACAATTTATGTTTTCATGTCGTGTCATGTTTAATATGTATAATAACAAAAATTATTAAAATACGAACACAACATGAATTATAAAACGTATTTAAATATTAAACATGAATATGACATATTTAATATACATATTACACATGACATGAAATGATTAATACATATATAATTAATTCGTTTAAACACGATACGAATAAATATGAATAATATGAATAGACACGACTAATATAAATATATACGAATAGATACAATTAACATGAATATATATAAAAATACAACTAAAATAATAAAAAACTAAAAGCTATTAATCATTTACAATTTAATAAATTTAGCATATTAATAATATAAAAAATACTTACATATTAAAAAAAATTTAATACTCATTTAATATGTATTTAATATATATATCTAAAGTTTGTTACATAAATAAATTAATTTTTAGTATAAGTTCAAAATGATAAACCATTAAAGATTAAAAAATAAAATAATAATGTATAAGACTAATATTAATATTTATATTATTAATATAAAAAAATAATTTTATAATAATTATTAAATGAGTATCATAATTAAATGTTTAACATAATTTTTATATGATATTAAATAACTAATTAAGTATCATAATTAAAAGATTAAAAATTAAAATAATCTTTATATGTTTATATTAAATTAAAATAAATATAAAAAATATGTTTTAAAGGTATCAAATGTATTAAATGTGTATTTATATGATAAGATTAAATTAAATGTGTTACGTAATTTGATGTATCAACATATATACAATATGAATTGAATTACGTAAAAATTTGTATGGACATAAATAAATACAAAATATTTTTTAAATACATATATATATATAATTTTTTTATGTTATTTTTGTATCTGTATCTAAAATTGTAAGTCTAATTAAAATAAAAAGAAAATCCTCACCAAGTCAACTTAAACTTAAACGTCTATTTTGTTCTACTTTCCTCGTATTATCAACGACCATTTCCTAGGTTAGTACTTCTCTTATCTTTTGCAGTATAGACAACGACAAAACGCTCCCTCTTCTCTCTTTCTATATATTCTATGTAATTATGTAATGAACTCAAACCACATTTTAACTTTACATTCTTCCAATGAAAGTGTCAAGTTTTCTCTTCTTCCTCTTTCTCTCCCTCTCTCTTTTCCTCTCTGCCACCTCCCATGGGGGCAGCCATGATGATGATGATGATGATGATGATGTTATGGCAGGTGAAAGCAATAAGCCTCATGACCTACGTTCCAAATCCTTGATTCTGGTCAAGATATGGTGCTTGATTCTTGTGTTTGTAGGAACCTTCATTGGTGGAGTGTCACCCTATTTTCTTAAGTGGAACCAAGGGTTTTTGGTGATGGGAACTCAGTTTGCTGGTGGGGTTTTTCTAGGGACTGCTATGATACATTTCTTGAGTGATGCTAATGAAACTTTTGAGGATTTGAAGACTAAACAATATCCTTTTGCATTTATGTTGGCTTGTGCTGGGTATTTATTGACTATGGTGGCTGATTGTATGGTTTCTTATGTGTGTGGGAGGGGTAATACTTCATCTAATAATAATGGTGATTTGGAGCTTCAAGGTAAGAACACGTTTCCACAATTTTCTCTTTTATGAATTCTTTTATCAAGAATTATGAATTATAAGTAGTTGAAGCAGTGTGTTTCTTTTTTGTGAATTGGGGAAGGAAAAGAGGTCCAGCCATGTTTGGTTCTTGAGGAAAGGAGAGGATGAGTTCAAGGTTAATGACTCGTTAATCAGTTCCCACATTATAAAGCAAACTCTAATATGTCTAAATATAAATGTTAGGTGAGACAAGACCAGATCCATGTTCTTGTTGGTTTCACACGCCATGTCTTGTTTGTTGATCTGTTAGAAAAAGGTTGGAGGAAAGGATAAGAATATTACTAACCAATTTTGGTTGCCATTAACATTTGGGAGAAGAGAAGCTGTTTCTGCGCGAAATTTTCTTGATAATAACTTTAGGAGTATGAAAGTAGAGGGCCATATATATTAAATTAAGAGTAGTGCAACAATGAATGTTTGGTTTAATTCGGTTGTTGTGTAATAAGTTATCTTAGGCTACCAGAGCTCTTGATTTTATGGTTATGATGGTGGTCGAACTGTTACTATGGCTATAATTCTACCTTTCCACCTCACACATATCTGTCTAAACTGCAGGGGCTGAGCAGAGCAAAAGTAATCCTCATCGCAATCCGCCGGTAAGCTTAATAGCCTAAAAAATTTTCTGTAATTTTCTTACAGAATTCGTTTCTGTTAATATTTGGCAGCTTTCCATGCTATGTAGGTTGGTAATGGTATTAATATAGCTTGCGCACAGCCCTCATCACTCACATATGTGAGTTCTTTTGGGGATAGTGTTTTGTTGATCGTTGCCTTGTGTTTCCATTCAGTCTTTGAGGGCATTGCAATTGGAGTTGCAGAGACAGAAGCCAATGCTTTGAATGCCTTATGGACAATCTCCTTGCACAAGATATTTGCAGCAATTGCAATGGGGATCGCACTCCTCCGAATGATCCCAGATCGTCCCTTGTTGTCATGCATAGCATACGCTTTTGCATTCGCCATTTCAAGTCCCGTTGGTGTGGCCATCGGGATCATAATAGATGCCACAACTCAGGGTGCTGTGGCCGACTGGATCTTTGCCATATCAATGGGGTTAGCATGCGGAGTGTTCATCTATGTATCGATAAACCATCTGTTATCTAAAGGTTACACACCCCTTAAGACAGTTTCAGTCGACACACCCCATCACAAGTTTTTGGCTGTCTTGTTAGGTGTTGGAGTGATTGCCATTGTAATGATCTGGGACACTTGAATGTAATAATTTCAACTTGGGTTACCTTCCCAGTTTTGGTTTGCAAGTATAGTATAGAACCAGATAGATCAAGTTAGGCTCTTTCTTGTCTATGTCATAGTTACTCGATCACCATGCTTTCATTCTCAATTCTCAAGTGTATTACTTACATTCTATTGGTTCATTTCTAACTATAAAGTGGCTTTACTATATATATTTTTTGACAGGCACAGATGGATCAACGGAAACTAGATTCAATGCTGACTATGGAATCTGACCAATATATATTGACTTACTATCATGCATGAATCATGAACTGAGTCGATTATACAGTAATGTCAGATGGGCTGGACAAAACATAAGATTCATCTAATGTCTCTTGCCTTCTAAAAACATAAATGTTTTGCCGTTAAGGAATGAAGGCCTTACCTGTCGTCTTGCTCGAGTTCAATGGGTTCGGCAAGGCCTTTGGTATTCCAGGCTGAACCATGTTCTTGTCAGATACAATGCAAGCACTGAAACTATTTTTATTTTATAACTCTACTATGGGAGCAGAGACTAGGGTAGGAAAAATTCATTGGTATAAACCGAGAAAAAGTATTGCCCCAAAAGGGATATTTTCGGATCAGCAGCTTGAGAAGCAGTTTCTGCTTCAGCAAAACCTACAATAAATAGTGTTATTATTGGTAAAATTTCCTAAAATCCTCTGATAAAAGGTGCTAACATACAAATTTGAAATTTGAAGTAGTTGAATGAGTAATATCCAGTGCTCTAGAGGTCCACATGAAGAGCTTTCTCGAGGCAAACTGATACGATAATGGGACCGGCCAAGTCTCCAGCAGCACAGCCTGTGGAAAAATTCACAATTTAAAATGATGCCAATGTAAGACAGTTAAACTTACAGTCTTACACACAAACTTGGGATGTCAATAACAGGCAGACTATTTGCTATAAACTATGAAGAGTTAAGATGTAGATAGGTGACTACTTACCAATCCACTGACCAATTGAAGGACGAAAAAGAGTAGCACCAATCCCTGCTCCAATGGAAGCAAAAATCAATGATGCTCCACACCTGATGGTAACACCGGTAATCTTCTTTCCAAGAAGTTTAGTTTGTTCTGTTATGTTGACCCCGTCACTCTCTTCAGAGTTCGTTATGCGAGAAAAGCATCGGTAGATTTCAATACCAGTTTGGACAAGCCATGCTGCTGCAACTCCAAGAAGATGACCTGAATAAACATTGGGAAAAAGGCAGAGATGTTACAAAGCTAAAGCAACTATTTACAATAAAATAGAGGACATATTGATAAATGGTTTTGACCTCTGAAAGTTGTTCTGCTAACTCTGAAGAAGTACACTGTGGCAGGCATTCCCCTTTGGGACTTCCGGACAGCTGATTTTGGAACGTCTGCATGAGTTGATCAAACTAATGAGCAGCTTACAATAATAATCAACAAGAAGATTTTGAATAATAATGATCATAATATGATAAGAGTAGAAGCATTTTTTCCCTTTTACATTCACAGGCAAGTTGAAGTACAACCACCGATCCACCACCATGACTTTGTGGAATAATGGAAAGAATGTACCTTTAAGGAGTTTCCATGCCATGCGTTGCGAAACATAAATAACAGCAAGTCTTTCAAGAACCCGTCTTGTTGTTACAACAGTAGTCTGAGAAGGCATAAAACATAATAAAGTTAAGTTGTTCCTTAAATAGCAAAGGATTGTCTCAATTGCAGTGCAATGTGCTTCAAAAACAGAGATTCAACAATCTATAGAAAACAGACTTCAGAGCAAAGCTTAGATTTAATGAATAGAGAAAGAAGAATTGAACATATTTGTCATGTGTAACTATGAATTTAATTAGCATCTAAATTACATAACTCCATATCTTTTATTAATTTTAACTGCATAAATTGATGAATTATACAAATATTTGGTTTTTTGCTTGACTCTCGCTGAAAAAGCATATCAGAATTTCATAAGATACGAAGAGAGACAGATGAACAATATAAAAAATTGGCTCAGCTGCAGGATATCATAAAAAGGCAAGACCAAAAGCAAACAAGTCACCTCACGAATTATTTGCTTCACTGATTTTTTGAAGGGAACAACTAAATCCACGTGGCGCTCTTCCGGAGTGTCCTGTAGGAAGTCATCATCATCCTCTTCTGTGTTCATAGAAGGCTCCAATAGAGGCAAATAGAACATCAGAAATGACCTCAAAGTTGTCATAGCAAATGGCCTCAACTCAAAAGCTGAAAAAAGAGGCTTTAACTCAATTTTATACTCCTTGACAGTGTATTTAAGAGCATCATTCTTAAAGATATCTTCAGATACTCTTTGTATCTTTGAAATGTAATCTTCAGGCAATTCTGCAGCAGCATCACAATGAGAGACCTTGGGATAACTGCAGCACAACCACCAGGGATTAAATTACACTTTTTACTCATTCCACCATCAACCCATTTACCCAAATCACCATCCTAAGCTACTATTAATTCTTAAGCCATAATGTAAAACTAAAATAACCCAGGCTAACAGTGTCAACTTCATGCACAACAAAAATTAACTAAGCAATCAGATCTTCTAAACCAAAGCTAGCCGCCTAATACAGTATTAAAAACCAAATACAACACTGTTGAAACCGATCTAAAATAAACCCAATCCTAATCCAATTCAAATCAGCACTGTCCATTTATCAATACACAAATCAAACACAGGTATACATATACACACGGATGATGATATGCATGCAATACGCTCATATACATGTATATATGCATATACACATGAAAAATGCATATGAAACCAAACAAACAAAACTCAATTGCCTAAATTCCATGAAGGTCCATTATCCTGTTCAATCTAATCCAATCATATCAGCACTGTTCACAGAGAAATACAAAAATCAAATTCTGCCATGCATGCACATACATATGTTGACATGAACTATGAAATACACTAAGGGGGCGTTCGGTTCGCAGAATCTTGGATTCCAAGGGAAAGTGTGATATCCGGGAAAGTGTGTTATCGAGGAAAAGTAGTCATTTTCAGGGTATCTCGTTTTCAGATTCCTATGTTTGGTTGAGAAGAATTTGTGTTTATTAAATCATTTATTTTTACCATAATATCCTTGACAATATAACAAGCCCTTTCATTTTGTTTTTAAAAAAATGAATAGGACAAATGATGCTTTTATCATCAAATGAACGAAGGATTTAACATTATTTTTTATAAAATTGAATTCATCCAATTACTGTATTTTTGTTAAATAAACGCAATAATTGATGATATTAAAAAAATATAATATTGATCAAATACAGCATTTTAAGTAAATAAACACCTTAATTGACTTTTTTAAGAAAAAAATATTGACACAATTACTGCATTTGTAATAAAAAAACGCCGTAATTCATCAACTCTGCAAACCTTTCTGGTTTCAGTTTACCAAACCTTTCCAATACGTAATTTGCAGAATTTCAAAACAAGTTTTCTGACATTGAGGAGATTGACACTATCTTTCATTCATCATGTGCCAGACTATAAATTGATTTTCTATATTCCAAATATTTATAAACAGGCAAAAATATCCACAAGCTTATCCAAAATAAGGAAATAACATACTTTAACATTTACGGCATTTCTATGTGGTAAACACGTAATAATCAGCAATCAAATGCAACACTAACTTTGGTAATTACCACGTATGTTTAAGAAAAATGCTGTAATAGCCAATTATAGAATATATAGAGATGCAAAAAAAAGAAGAAGTATCAATTACTGTGTTTTGTTCAAAAGAAACAAAGTAATTGACTTAAAAAAAGTAATTTTATTGTTAGACTTTCTTTTCAAACTGGTAACATAGATAGTAGAAATGTTTTATTCAGGTCCAATGTGGAATTCAAGCAACTTTCGGTCCGGAATCCTAAAATAACATAAGGAAAGATAGGTTTCAGATTCCGGGACTTTGAGTACTGTTGAGAATCTGACATTTTCCCAAAGAATTAGATAACATTGAACTAAACGTGGGAATCAGATGCCCATAATCAAGATTCTGAGAGAAAATTTTTAGATTTCCCTGAGTCAAACGCCCCCTAAATAAATTGTCTAAATACCATCAAAAGCCATTATCTTCTACTAATCACCATTAAAAACCAAGCAATAACAAACAAAGTGAACAGTACATGGATGTAAACATACCCAAAAAGGAACCTAGAGGCAAAAGGGGTTCCAGCAGCAAAGGTAGCGGCGGCTGATGCGGCGGCAGCGGAGGCAGAAAAGAACCCAGAAGAGTGGAAGCTTTGTGGGGAGCAAAAGCTTGGGTTTTTCTTGCATAGATCTAGCAATATTGCTATTCCCGCCATTGTTATTCCTCAATACGCAGCTAAAAACAACAAATAAAAGAAACCCACTTCGGCTTATATCACTACCATAACAATGATCAGCTCAAGCTGTTTTCTACCTTTTGGGTTTCTCTGGGAAAGTTAAAGGCTTTGAGGGGTTTTTAACTTTTTGATTCAAAAATAAATAAAGGTAATAATAATGGTGAGCTTAGAAGACACCGGACACGATTTGATTTCTGTAAGAGAGAGAGCGAGAAAAGTTTTTTCTTTTTCTAATTTCCTTGTTTGTAGGGTTTTGTTTGGTTTAGGTTCTGTTTTATTATTATTATTTTTTGTCAAAAAATGTAAGTGAATTTATGTTTATTTATTTTGTCTTTTTCAAGGAAAAAGTAACAGAAAAGTAAAGACATTATGTTTAATTTCAAATAAAAAATTTTGACTTTCAATTGGAAATAAAATATATAGTTTTTTTTATATAATCATATTAAAATTTTAATTTTAGTAATAAAAATTTAATATTTAACAAATTTAAATACAAAAAATATATAGATTTTTTACATCAATATTAGGAAAGGAATAATTTTCTTATTATTTCACCCATTTAAATACATTTAAAGCTCATAAATGTATATAAAACTTCAAATTATTTCGCCCACAACTATCAATTTTTAATTTTGAAAAAAATTAATACTAAATTAATTCATTAACACAGACAAACGACAAAAGCCTTTTCCTAGCAAGCCAAATCGGTGTATCCAAACAGGACCCTTCTTCCTACACAAGAAATAACCGATTTAAATCCTGTCACAGGTAAGTACCAAAAAAACAAAAAAAGAAAACAATTCTGTGATTCCCAAATTCTTCCCTAAAGTTTCAACTTTTTAGAAATCAAGGGTTCTTTACAAATTAAGGTTTTGATTTTTCGCAATCCCAAATTCTTCACCAAAGGTTCAACCTTTTGGAAATCAAGGATTCTTTACAAGTTAGGGTTTTGATTTTTCCCAAAATTAGCCGAAAAGGAAAATGAATTTGGGGGATTTACACAAGGTTTGGGAAATCAAAGCATTGAAGAGGAAACCAGGAGAAGAAGAAGCCCAAAAGATCTTAGAAAAAATTGCCAAACAAGTTCAACCCATTATGCGTAAGCACAAATGGAGAGTAAAGCTCCTCTCAGAATTCTGGTATTTTTAAAAAATTTTATTAAATTTTGTATCTTTCTATTTTGTTAAAGAAAGGTTTTTTTTTATTAATTTGCTGAATTTAATTTTGATTTATAGTCCAAATAATCAAGCTCTGCTAGGGTTGAATGTGGGAGGTGGCGTGAACGTGAAGTTAAGGTTACGGAGACCTAACCGGGATTGGGATTTTTATCCCTTTGATCAAGTTCTTGATACAATGCTTCATGAGCTTTGCCATAATGATCATGGTCCTCATAATGCTAGCTTTTACAAGCTTTGGGATGAACTTAGAAAGGTACAAAATTTGATTCTTTTATATAGTCCCTAATCATCATTTTCCATTGCCAAATGCTGTTTTATGGATGGTTCTTGTCTATATTATAATTTTCATGTTAGACTTGTTTAAGTTGGTGTAATTGTGTTAAAACCATTAAAGGACAGATTATGGCCTGTGAGAATTAAATCATTAGGAAAGCAGCATTAGGGATATTGCCTATATATGGATGCATAATTGGATGTTATCTATGTGGAAAAGGAGAAGCTGCTTGAGGATATGATAGTTGAATGATTTGGCTGTTGGTTGAAATGAATTTGAACTCTACAAGTTTCAATCTGCTTGCGATGCATACCATTCTCATTATATGAGATGTCTGCTTGGGAGAATTGGTCTGATCTCCACTCTCCAGTGTTCCTTTTGTTTTTCCTCATTGTCATTTACTTGTGTTTCTGCAGTTAGTTTAAGTTTCGAGAAAGATGCCCATATTTTCATCTTTAGATATTCTAAGGATCTTGATATGAGAAAATAGTTTGGAAAATCTATATTTAAGTAGGGCAGCATGATAATTTTAATGCCTTTTTGCATATTTGTCCTGTTATATTCATGCAGGAATGTGAGGAGCTCATGGCAAAAGGTATAAGTGGCACAGGAGAGGGGTTTGATCTTCCTGGGAGGCGCTTGGGTGGATTTACGCGACAACCTCCACTCTCATCTCTTCGCCAGACTGCATTAGCTGCAGCGGAGAACAGAGCACGTTTGGGGTCTCTATTACCTTCTGGACCTAAACGCCTTGGTGGTGACTGCACCATTATGGATGCACTTAGTCCAATACAAGCAGCTGCAATGGCTGCAGAAAGGAGATTGCAAGATGATATCTGGTGTGGTTCTCATTGTTCTGAGGTTGCTGGGGTTGAAGAAAATTGTGGTGATACTTTGCAGGATCATTTGGACATTGAGCAAAGAGCAGAGAGCTTGCGTGTCAAAGATATTTCTAGTGGACATGCTCTGGCTGAAACATCTCATAAGCGAAGGCATGAACCAGATAAAAGACTTCAATCAATGAACAATCATTTAGAATCCAGTTTTGTGGATTTAACTACAGATGCTCAAGTATTTGGATCTGTTATCCATCATGGTGCCAGATCTCCTAAACGAAGTTCTAAATCTAATAACCTTATACCTAACCAATCTAGTTCAAGTGCCTCGTCTTCTGTGCCCATGCTTAAGGGTGATTCTCTAGAAAGTCTAGGAGTAACTGCTATGTGGAAGTGTGAATCATGCACTTTATTGAATCCAGTAAGTGTTTCATGCAGCAATATTATTTCATTCATACACTTTGCTTATAAGGGGATATTGTTTTGTTTAAAATATATGTTCACCATGTTTTCAATTGAATTTTATTTGCTTAAACGATTTGGCTATGGTTATGTGTAATGTCAACACATGGTTAGAGTCTTGCTTTTGGAGCTGTATTTTCTTGTCCTGCATATTTGGCCCATTTGGCTATGTAATATTTTCTGATTGTGCTGAGCAATCATGAATTGAAGCATTGTAGCAATTCTAATACCCATGGGCCATGATATAATTAATATTGATATGGACTCCCCCTCTACCCACATAAACATGTTTAGTTTCTTTCAGTGATAGTTCCATTGTGTTACCTCTTTGCATCTTGAACTGGAGAAAAAGATTTTTTTCTTTCGTTTTGTTTTTGCTCCAAATTCCTTCCTAACAACTTACTTTGGATGTCGTTGATGTTGAACCAATGCAGCCATTAGCCCCAATATGTGAGCTTTGCCGCAAAGAAAGGCCCAGAGACATTGGTACCACGTACAAATTTTGGTCCTGCAAGTTTTGCACCTTGGAAAACAGTGTGAAATTGGATAAATGCTCAGCATGTGATCAATGGAGATATTCACACGGCCCTCCGGTTTTGACTCGAGCTCCCAATGTTGGCACATGAGAAGTAATATCTCCATGTGCATTGTTTCATCTTATCCAAGTTGGTAGATCTTCTTGGTGAAAGTTTGTTGCCGTGTTTGAAGTGATATGGAGGCATTTTCCACTTTTGGTTGCTTGTTGTTTGGTATTACAATTGTTGGTTGCTTGCCAGCCCTTCTTGTGATTATCTTTTGGATGCTATTAAAATGTTCTATTGTTTGGTAAGGGAGGGTGGGAGAGCATTGTAATCTTGACATAGTTTAATCTACTACTAAACTTTTATTTTAACTCAAGTTTCCATTGGAGGTTTCATTTCAAAAAATAATGAATCATGGGACACACTAACCTTTCCTGTGATAATCATCAAACAGCAACTGTGGACCAACATATCCCCATCCGATACACCATGCTAGCATTAATTTTGTGGAACACTATAAGGAACAACCCAACTACTTAATTCAATAACAAGTTTCTTCTTCTAGTATGCAAAGAAAGTTTAGGTTTCCCTTTACCATTATGATTAGTTGATTTTTCCTTTTTAGTCATAACTTTATGTTGACATACGAATTATCAGTATTTTATATGATATAAATACTTAAATTGTTAGATTTAATTTAAAAGAGAATATACTAATGAATGAATGCATACCCTGGGAAAGGAAAAAAAAACATTTGCTTCAACTATAAAACACCCCCAACCCCAAGACACTAGTTTTATGTATCTGTTAATTGTTAAGTGGGAAATAAATAAAGAAGCTTGAAATAGTAGCTTTCCTAGCTGTACTACAAACTCTAAGAAAATTCATTACAAGTGGAATGAGAAAGAATTAAAAGTTAAAATCCTTTTTATAAGAACATGGGGATCTTAGAAAATCCACATATATCATTTGCTTTTGGTTTTGTTGTAACAAACAAAGGAAAAAAATGGGAAACTGAAAGTCATTGCAATTATCTTTTCACACCCACAGATCATTTGGAATTTGACTTTGAATACTCCATTTGACTCTTTGTATCATCAAAAAGGCTAAAGTGGGCAGCTTTGGAGACATAGCTAACTTTCATCCTTTTTTTATCATTTAGGAAATATTCAGTCATTAATTCTTAATTTCATATATAAAATGATGGTAATTTATGTACTCAAAACTTAAGTTATTCGGACTCAATGTAAGTGTTAAATACGAGTATGGATCCGATACAAATAAGTACAATTTTTTAAAAAGGTTTTTCATATATTTGAAAGATTGGATTTTCGTACTCATGTTCATATTTCAAAGAATATGAAGAGGGAATGAAGCTGAAGCTGAAAATTTTAGAAAAGAAAGCAGGAACATGAAAAAAAGACAAGGAAAGTTGGAAAACCCCACATTGGCCAACTGTTTTAATGGCAGAAAAACATGTTATTGTGAGGGCCCATGGACCAAAAGGCCTATCCAAATGAGTGATGAACTCAGCCCCCATTTGCTACAAAAATTTCATTTAATTTTTATTTATTTATTTTTTACCTTTTCTTCTCTTAGTCCTTCTGGTGTCTCTTCTCCCATCATCAGCAGCTGCATGCCAAGCCTGCAACTTCCGAACCACCCACCAAAATGTCCTTTTGTAGCTCTCTTTTTTCACTTCTTACTCATCATCTTTTGTCACCTCTCTCTTCTTCCACTTTCTCGTGTTCCACTCACCAAAACAACGACAAAGTCTTCAGCTTTCGCCTCTTTCTTGAACCCTTGAAAAAACCTGAATTTTTCCAAAAAAGATCCTATTTTGATGCTTAATATTGTATGTTTAGGTGTAAAGAAAAGTGCTCATTTTTCCTTTGTTCTTGATGGTTCTCTTAGTTCAGTCAGTCAAAGCCGTATCTTGGTCCCTTTTGGTTCTTTCAGGCCTTAACTTCAGTTTGCTCAGGTTTATCTCTGATCTACTTGCAGATCTTCAAGGCTCAGCTTTTTCTGAGTTCTGGTCAGTTTTTTCTAATTCCCCTCTCTTGTTTGGTAGAATTCTTTGAAAATTCAGCTGAAGATTCATGATGGCATCTTTTGGGGATAGTGTCAGCTAATTGTAGCTTTGATTGAATGCAAAAAGCTTCTGTTTTGTTCATTTTGAAGGTGGCCAAGTCAGCTGGATATTTTCTATTCAAACATTTGTAACTAATTAGAGAAATCTATTGTCAGGTAGTTGGAGTTTCTGATCTTTTAGATACTCAAAGATTTAGTTCCTGTTAATTTTAATCAGTTTTGCGAGATACATAGTTCTTATTCTTCTTTCTTTTTCCTAGTCATTCCACAGCTTTGGGTAGAGGGATCAGTTTTGAAGGTAATAGCTTGGCCATATTCAAGCTATTTTCTGGATGATTGTATGGTGGTTGTCTTTTCATCAACTAGTTTTCTAGTGTCAGAACCCTTTGCCAATTTTGGCATCCTTAGCTATGTGAGGTGATAGTCAAGAAGATTTTGTTTCGTAAATCACCTCTTGGTGCTTTATATCAAAATGTCTGGAAATGATCATTGTTTTGTCGAGTGGAAGGAGGAATTTGTTTCACAGGAGCGTGGTAACCGTGTGGTTCACTATTTCTTGAAGGATTCCGCTGGGGAATCCATCCGTGCAGTTATTGGTACTGAGAGGAGTGTTAGGCACATGTTTTATGTTGTTGCTGAGGAGTTTGTGAGGATACATGGTGCTGAGCATTCAATTCATGCTGGTTTCAAATGGAGGTCAAGGAGAGAGGTTGTGGATTGGCTTACATCTATGCTCTCAAAGCAGCATCTGCAGGGAGATCGATCTAGTATGTATTGCGCCTTTTGATCTTTGAATTCTAATATTTACAGGCGTCAAAAGGTAGTAAATCACAATAGAATGCATCAGTCATGATGTACTTATTAATAAGACCTTCTTAGCAAAGCAGTTTAGAATTCAAAACTTATCTAAAATTCTGTTTAGTGTTTTAACAAGCATCAGAAAAGCTTAATGATTAAGCTTTGCATCTTCGGTTGTCCTTCATATATGAGTTTAATGGTAAATTTAAGGTCTAGTATGAGTTTTCTTTACTGCCCATCTCATATTTGTAACTTGATGTCATTGTTCTTCCCTTTTTTCCAAATTTATAATTCTTATGAGTCACTTGTATTGTAGTACTACTCTTTTAGATGGAGGTAAGAAAAATGTTATTATCAATTATTGTTGAATGGTCTGGTTGTTCTACCATTTATGGTTGAAGCAACAAACTAGGGAGAGTCATTTATCTTTAGAATTCATGTTTCCTTGAAAAGAAAACACTATGCTGAACATCTCTTAAATTTACAGTTTTTATAACATCTTCAATGACAGAGTCACCGAAACATGAAGTGCTGCTAGCATTGGGATCTCCCGGTTGGGCAACGAACGGGATTAGTGCTCGAAAGGCCCAAGCACTGGATGATATGGTATATCATCTGTATTTTTATGTTAGTTCAGTTCCTTATTCTTTCTTTGATGTTTGTCTGACACTGACTCCTATATTACAGGGCCATCTTAAAAGAAATTTGAATGGACAAAGTTCTGCTGTTGTGTGGTCAGGCACTGCATGGACATGTGGTAAACAGCTCAAACATTTCCCTGCATTTTGTCGCAATGGGACCACAATAGCGGTAAGCATCAACATATAAGAAAAAGAAATATGGCACAGATTGGGGTGCTGGACTTTTATAAATTAAATGAGACGCCTAGACTACTTGCCCAAACTCTAATATCATGTTGAGACCTGGTCAGATTTCATAGATTTAATTGGTACAATGAGAAAAAGTAAATGGTGCTATTGAAACAAATTGCTATAATTCATGAACTGCTCTTAAATAGTTTGTCACATGAGGCCATAATAATGTGATATGATGGCATGGAGTTTGCATCTCTGTTGCTCAGCCTTATCCTAATACAAGGAGGCATGAATTTTTGGGCCTTGATGGGTTTAGCAGCATCATTTCTTGTTGGGACCAGGCATCATGCATTTGGATGTGGCTTTATCATTTGTGCTTTCTTTGACTGTGAAGTCTGCTGACATTTTTCCTTTTCAAATTTTTCCTGATGTTCAGATTCAATCCTTTGTTTTTGTCATGGCTAAAGGAGAGAATCACTATCTGGCTTACTTGGAGGACATGTATGAAGACAAGCGGGGGCAGAAGAAGGTCAAAGTGAGGTGGTTTCACCATACTAAGGAAGTCAAGGGTGTCATTCCTGTAAGGAATCCTCACCCAAAAGAAATTTTCATAACATCTTATTCACAGGTCATTAGTGCAGAGTGCGTTGATGGTCTTGCCAGTGTCTTAACTCGTGAGCATTATGAGAAATGCTCAGCTGTGTTTCCTGATGCTTTATTAGCCAGAGTTCATGTGTGCTTTAGGCAGTTCAGAAGTAATAAAGTGAAGCCATTCGATTTGAGTAAATTACGTGGCTATTTTAATCAACCGATTCTCTCTTGTTTGAATTCCAGTCTGTTCTTAGAGCCTGACTCCATGAACCATGGCCTAAATTTAGAAGAGGAGGAAGAACTAAGCCCCAGTGAAAATCTTAAGATAGGAAATAAGAGGACCAGAACTAACAGAAGTAGTCAAAGGTTTGTGACAGATTCAGGAAACAGGATTTCTGGCAACCACTTGATGACTTATGAAACTTCATACAAGAAAATAAAATATGCTTTGTCTGGAAAGAGAATGCTTTCCCTCAAGCATGCCGAGCGTCAACGTTTGTATGGCTCAGTTTTCAAGGTTGATGAAAAGATAGAGTTGCTGTGCCAAGATAGTGGCATCCGAGGCTGCTGGTTTAGATGTACAGTCTTGCAAGTATCAAGCAAACAGATGAAAGTTCAATATGATGATGTGCAGGATGAAGATGGATGTGGAAATCTTGAGGTATGTTCTAGGCATTTTAGAAACTTATATCGGTATATTTTCAATAAGTTAATCTCCATTAGTATAGTATGTAAAGAACAAATTCCCATTGGATATTCATCACAAACAGTGGTGATTCCAGTAAACGGCTTGAAAATTTTCGTCACTTTGCCGAGGAAAAAAACTGAATCTCTAATTTAGCTATGCTAGGTTTTAAACTGGTTTTGATTTTAATAAATCTCATATTTTTCTCATAAATGTATTTGTTCTTCTCTTTGAAATGAAAGCTGATGCATTCTGCACTGTGTAGGAATGGATCCCAATTTTCAAGCTTGCCACGCGTGACAAACTTGGCATTAGGTGCTCAGGCCGGAGTACAGTACGACCTGCTCCACCCAGCTCTCAAACAGTACTTGCTGTTGAGGTTGGGGCTGCTGTTGATGCATGGTGGAGTGATGGCTGGTGGGAAGGGGTTGTAACTGGAGCCAACAGCAGTGGCGATGATAATTTGCAAGTTTACTTTCCTGGTATGTTTATTTTGAAATGTATTATGTTGCACCTGCTACTTGTTTATTGTGATGGAATTGATGCTTTCTCGTTTCCTGCATCAAATGATAATTACTCTTATGGTGTTAGGTGAAAATTTATTCCTGAACATACACAAAAAAGATCTAAGAATTTCCAGAGATTGGGATGGGGACCACTGGATTGATATTGAGGCCAGACCCGATATACTCTCGGTGATATCTGCTTTAATTAGCCCCGGTTTGGAAATGAAAGTTTCCATGTCCTCTACTGTTGTCACGGATGCCAAGGTTGATGATGGCACAATGCCAATTGAAGTTGTTGCTGCCAAAACTGTGCTCAATGTTGCTGAAGGGGAAAAGCCTGAGTTAGCTAATCAGGACTGTTCTGATAACGTCCTAGAAGACACTGGTGGTACAAAAGATGAAAAAGATGGGGATGGTAGTGATGGTAAGAAGCCTCCACCATCAGAAAATGGCAATAATGAAAATGCTGACAATGCCAACATCATTCATGATAAACTAAATGGTGTGGATGGTAACAATGAAAACAACACCAACAACAGCAATGATGATAAGGAAGCAAGTTAGAGATGGAAAATGACACGGTGCAGAACTGCAAAACTACAGAACTCGTGGAATTGACTACTTAAAATGTTTCTGAAGCAACTGATTCTTTTGTAATGGGGATGGTAGTACTAATTCTTCAGTTAAGACCTTCTGTAAATAGTGACGCAAGCATAGAAGGAAGTCATCGTGTTTTGACTTGGTGGCCCTGGTCTGTATACAGTAACAAGGTTAGTTTTTTGTGGTTTCTGTTGTAATAATTGTTTGTACTAGAAACAGGATTTGCATTAGAAGATCTTTGGTTAGGAGCTCCTCTAAAATGGAGCCTGTTCTTCCTCAGTTTCTTTAGTCAAGGGCTTTGCTTGTATCTTGTAACCCCAAATTTGTATTCTCTTAAAAATTAATGAGAATTATCATATTTTCTTCACTTAGTATTCTTGCTTACTGCTATTAGTCAAGTATTTTAATGCTCCATTTATACAAACACCATTGTCTTCCATTATAATGTGCTATAGATATATTTCGAAGAATATATTTTTAAGCTTGTTTTGACTAAAACCCTGTTTAAAGGACCGGGAAAATGTAAAAGTTTTGGTGAGGTATATGGGAGAGAAGGCTTGGGCTAAACAATGAAGATGAGAGAAGAATTATAATCTCAGCCATTGTTTTCCATCTATAAATTTCATGTCCAGAAAAAGGTTTTGCTTCTTCATAGCTAAATTTCTTTGACCATGGCACCTGGTCACTTGTATCTGGTCCTGTTACCTAGCACTGGAATTCCCCAAATTCTACAGTCCTGCATGCAAAGATTGAAGTATTCAACTTAGGTTAGCAATTTATCAAACTTTTCTTTGGATTGGAGATCATACTTTCGCCTGAAAGGGTAGTTCCAGTCACTCCATCCAGCAATAGTTATGACATTGTCAAGGTAACAGTTACAATAGATAGCTCTTGAATAGTTTCCCCAAGCTCTTCCCAAGTAAAATTTACCAGTTCCATTGATTTGCAGTTTACAAATGAAAACCCCGTATTATCATATTGTGAATCCCTGCGGTGAGCTGCGATTGCTCCATACTTTTTTGCAGTGGACTGAATCAGACAATCCTGTTTCAAAGAATCTAGCCTGAGTATCATAATTATGAAGAAATCTGTCAATCTCAAAGGAAATTTCACAATCCTGAAGTAGGTAAATTACCTGATAGAGTGCTCTTGATTTACCGAAGATGAAATCGATACTGCCTTGAATGTGGCACTGGTAGTAGTGTGATCCAGTTTCATCCAAGAGTGTGTCCTGTGTCCCCACAACCTTGACCTTTTAAACCATTGCCTGGTCACCAAAGATCCTGAGGGCCACAGCTTGCCTTCCAGATTCTCCAGGAGCTGCCAACTATATTCTGCAGCAAATCATTACACTCAATTATCAGAGTTTAAAATGCTGATACTAGCTTTCACTAGTTTGGAAGAATCAAAGAACAAGTTTACCACCTCAAATGTGACCTCAGTTACGAACATGTTTTCAAGTACACCCCTAGCTTGTGATAGAAATTTTCCAATCATTACAAATGATGGGTTATAATCGTAGCCCAAATCAAATACGAACTACACAAACCTATTCTTATTGTGCCTGTTTTTGCGCTTTCCATTAGGCCCATCTTTGAAAACCACTTACAAAACTGAAAAAAAAAAAAAAAAAAAAAAAAAGAAGCCCTTTTGGATAACACTGGTGAGAGCAAGAGGAACACAAGAAAGGCTCCTCTTTTCCCATCCAAAAACAGAGAACACTTTAACAAAAACAAGAGGAGATTGAAATTTGCAATGGCAATATCATCAATCTCTTCAATTCTAATTCCTTCTTTAACAATCCAAAGTTCTTGTTCACCTAAACCAAAGTTCACTTTTTTATCTTGTTCTTCACCACTCTCGTTCAACCCCTTGAAGCTTGGCAACAATACGCTTAAACTTTCTCAATCACCCACCAAGCTTTTTGCTGCTCCTGGAACTTTAGTAGAGACAGCCGAGGTTTGGATAAGTTTCTCCCTTTTTTTTTTTGTTGTTTTAAAGAAAAATTAACAACTTTTAAATTTTGTTTTAACCTTTTAACATTTTGATTGTTGAGAAATCATGGGAATTGAAAAAAGATTGCCTTTTGGCTGGATGGGTTTGAATTTTTTTAAGTGTATTTGGATAATTCTTTGTTGGTTTGCTGAAAATTGCGAGAAAAAAATGAACTTTCGCCGTTTCATTTTTGTTCATGTGAGCCTATTTTGTTACTGTTATAGTTGAATTTGAAACCAAATCCTGAACACCAAAAAAGGAATTTAGTTTAACATTAAATTCCCACTTTTTGTTTTGCATTTAATTTTGTGTTTTGCAGGTTGGAGATTCTGAGGTGCCCAGTTCTTCATCTGTTACTGCTGAAACAGACAAGGTATCTTTAGAGCTATTTTTGAGTTTGTGAAAGTTGTTTAAAACTGCAATATTATATTTGAAACTGAAGTTCAATCAAGTTCTGGAGTTAACCTTGTTGTTTAGCTTATGTCTTCAAAATTAACAGAATATAGGACACTAGATATAATATTAGATTTCCCATCTATACTGGTATGACATTCTTTGTTTGAGGATAATATACTTGTTCTTCTCAATACTCCTCTGGAAACATAGGGGCATTATCAAAACCATTGATAGAAGGAAGTACATTGCCCATCTTCTGACATGATTCTATGGATGCTGCTAGGAAAGTTAGATGACAAAATTTAAGGTTATTTTTTTGCTTGTGCCTGTTTTGTAGCTTACTATGGCTCTGTGAGAGTTAGATGATAGGTTTATTCTTTTCATATGTCAGTGATTCATTGTAAACATATTTACATACGTCATCGTTATTAGAGGTTTTCCTGTTTTTATTATTGCTCACAGATTGACCAGAGTAGGCACCTGAAACTTGTAAAACTTTACAAACTTTAAACAATAGGTTTATTACTGTCCTCTCTTTGCACATGGTGATAGTCAAGTATGCCATTGGTTATATATGAGTTAATCTTGGTTTGATCGGCATCTAGCTGGTCCTCAGAAAGTTTGTTTTGAAACCTTTACATCGTCAAACAGTATGAGGAGGAATAAATCATAGAGGGGTAAGTGGTTGCCTCTTCTACCTTGAAATACTATTGTGCTAGGAAAGAATTATATCCTGTGGCATGTCAAGCTCCTGAAATGATTCTTTGGAAGAACAATTAACTGTAATTTACTTGGGACTCACTGTTAGCCATGTGGTTTGTGAAGGGAGATTCCGAATGGTCTGATATGAAATCCAAGTGACTGGAAATCACTAGAAGCCCAATGATGAAGTTGAACCATGCTAGATAATCCCATTCTGTCTAAATAGATTATATTTTTATCTTGTTTTCTGGTTGTTATATTGGAAATCCTTATTTACATTTCTTTTCACAGTTGGCACCTAAGCAGAAGATTAGAATTAAACTTAGGTCATACTGGGTCCCCTTGATTGAGGACTCATGCAAGCAGATAATAGATGCTGCACTTATTACCAATGCCAAGACCATGGGTCCTGTGCCATTACCAACCAAGAAGAGGATCTATTGTGTTCTTAAATCCCCACATGTGCACAAGGATGCAAGGTTCCACTTTGAGATCCGGACACACCAGCGCCTTATAGATATTCTATACCCAACTGCACAAACAATTGATTCTTTGATGCAGCTTAACCTTCCTTGTGGAGTGGATGTGGAAGTCAAGCTCTGATGAAGCAACACTGTAGCTTAGGTAAATTTTTGTATAAGTTGCTAAAAATTTTTCTTGATTAAGGTCTGCTTTGTTTCTTTCCTTGTTTGTTACTGTTGGTCATAGGTTAAAGTATTTTGTGCAACTCGTTGCAACTTATTTGAAGTTTTTAGAAAACTTCGAGAAATGCAAATAGTAAAAGTACTGAATTGCTAATTGCCAAAGCTGAAGTCTGTTATATTTGTTCTTATATCCAGAAAACATATGTAAAGTTGTTTAGTGCTTGCTGCCTACCTCCTTTTAAACCTTTGATGAGAGTCATTATTTACATTTGCCTTCTCAACTTGAAATCCCATACTTTAAACCTGTAAATTTAGGATGTTTCCTCATTACATTCATAAGCCCTAACAGTTGAATCCTTTCCATGTTGTGTTTGATTAGAAGATAATATTAATCGTAAAAGAACTGAGGGGAGAAAGGGCCAATCCCGGTGTTGTATAACTTGTCTGTCTCACCTGTCTTTTAACCTATATTGTTCGGACTTTTCGGTTTTCTTGATATGTTCGTATCCAACTCATATCTTACAGATATTGATACGGAGGTTTGACCCTCTAAACACACTGGAACACCTAGAAAAAATTGAAAATATTCATATCCGACACTCAGCCTGAATCCAAGTAACAGAGCTGTTAATTGTTCGGGTGCACCTTGAGGTTGGTTCAACGCTCACTGGCTCTCACTACCAACTGTTTGGGGACACCATGAGATTGGTTCAAGGCCTACTGGTTCTCACTACAAGTGATAAATGTTGCAGAAAGTTTTTTCTTTTAACCAAGGTTGGATTAAGCAATTAAAATTCGCGTCTGGCCAGTTGTTTTGAAGGCATAGCCACCCATAGATTAAGCAACTAAATTTCAAGTTGGCCACTAATTTTGTAATTAAATATTCAGCCTCCATATGATGCTGAATTGAATTGAGCTGCTTTCAGTATACTTTTCAACTATCAAATCCATCTGGCTCAGGCAAAACCAACTTGGATTTCATGGATGGATGTGAGCCCGTAATTGTAAAAGTAGCTAAAGATGTTCATTAAATTAAGGTCTGCTTTATGGCTTTCCTTGTTTTATTATTGTTGGTCATAATAAGTTTTCTTTTGCAACTCCTTGCAACTTCTTTCAAGTTTTTAAAGAACTTCGAGAAATGCAGAGGATGAAACTTCTGAATTGCTAATTGCAAAAGCTGAAGTCTGTTACCTTTGTTTTTATATCCAGAAAACATATACAAAGTTGTTTAGTGCTTGTTACCTTTGCCTTCTCAACTGGAAACACCATACTTAAAAGCCATATATTTAGGATTTGTATCCTAACAGGTGAATCCTCTCCATTTTGTGTATGATTAGAAGATAATTCAAATCAACATGAAGTGAGTGGGACTAGATTCTAGGACTTTTTTTTTTTTTCTTTTGATATTTAAAAGCGACTTGACGAATAAAATTAATAATTTAATATTTTATTAATAGATCACACGAATCGTTAATAAATTAAATTCATAGTTGACAAATTTGGATATAGGTTACTTTACGGAGAATGTATCATTAGTGGCCCAAATCTATTTAAGTCAAGAAAAACAACCATGGCCGGGCTTTTATGGATTACATACACTTAATAACCTCTAATTACAAAATAATAATAAAGGAACATAGGATGAAGATCGAGAAAGGGCCAACCTGGGTGTTGTATAACTTGGCTGTCTGTTAACTGTTTGGGGACACCTTGAGATAGGTTCAAGCCCCAGTGGCCATTTTGGGTTCTTGAGCTCATTGAACATCTTTGTCATATCTGAAGATGGTTTTCCTAGCTAGGTGTGAGTGAAGCAGGCGAAACTGAATGGACTCTGAAATAATCCAAACTTGAAATGATATTGAACTGACAGATCGATTCATTCAACCTCCACCTCTAGATGTGGGTATAAGCATTAGCATATACCACCCATAGATTAAGCTATAAAATTCAACTTGGCCACTTGTTTTGAGGATAAAAAACAAAAGCATAATTCCTTCTCCACTCAACTTCCATATGAAGCTAATTGAATAGACCTGCTTTTACTAGACTTTTCATCTATCAAATCTATCTGGCTCAGGCATATTCAACTTTCAGATTTCATGGATTGACATAAGTTTATAGTTTTGTGAAATTTCTCATTTTAAATTAATAGGGGTTTGTAAAGTATTTAAGCTCAAATTCTTTTTTTTAACTGATAAGTGATATATAAATTTAAAATTTTAAAATTCTTTGTTAATTTTCTTATAAATTGATGGCTTGGTTTGATTTTGAAAATAAATAAACCTCACTTTTTTGGAGAAAAAAAAATTCTCGTCTGAAAACCTACAGATTTTAGTTGCAAATCCTAGCCACAAGCTCTTGGAAAATATTCTCTGCCTATCCTCCCAAATTAAAAAAGAAGTTGAATTCGCAATCTCCTAAGTTCTAGGCAAGTTTTAGCCATAAGGCAAAACTTTCATATCTAAGGAAACAAAAGGACTGTTCTTCAGGCTATACCATGAACATTGACTACAATCCCATGATGTTTGCTTATCATTTTAACCAATCCCATTTCGTTTCAATAACAAATATTTCTCACAGGTTGGGTAGTCTTGCATTTTCCATCTGGAGAACCCTCTATGTTATAACCTTTTGAGCAAATTTTCTTCCATACCTTTTTTTTCTTTTTTATAATATGATTAAAGATGCCTTCAAGTTGTACCTAAGCCTATTCTTCGCATTATTTGAAGAATGTATTTTCAATCCCTCGTATATAGGTTTAATGCATTTAAAATTTTATTCTCAAAATACGTATTTTCATAAAAATCGAACTATGAATGTTGAGGAAAGGATTCTAGCATTTATCTCTTGTATTGTCATTAATGCTATAATGTTTAGTATAGAGATCTGTACTCAATTTATAAAATATTATTTATTTTAATTTAAAAATTTTATAATTTTATTTTATAAAAAGATTTTACAAATTTGTTACAAAATTTTCTTTTAAAACTTAATATTCCCATCAAATTAAGCACAAAGTATATACAAACTGCATAATATTTTATTTTTACAAAATTTTAGTGGTAATTTTTACAACGTAATATTTAATTTTTATTTGATTGATAATTATTTTATATTATTCGTAAAAATTTATATTTAACTTATAAAATATTATTCACTTTCAAAATTTTCATATATCACAAAAAAATCTCACAAATTTAAATTTAAACTTTTATTTATATATTGTAAGATGCGCTTGTAACATTATAATGTGAAATTGAGACTTAGCATATTAGCATCTGATTACAACTTTCTTTTCTGATATTTTCGGGCCTCCCAATCTCTCCCTTTCCTAGGAGGCTATATGGACCTACAGTGGCCGCCATTTTTGGATTCTTTTCTTTAAGGGTTACCAGAATTATTCTTTTTTCTTTACACAAAGTGGAGAATCAGACAATGAGTGACTTGAGCATACTAACCATATCTAATATCTTCCTCTTTGTTCTATTGGGAATTCAAAGGAATGGTTTTGCAAAGTCTCTTTCTTCAAATTTGCTCCATTTTATATTGAAAGTAATAGCTTGCAATCTGCCAAAAGCTTTTATTGTGTAGGCCATCCTTGGGGCAAAGCCAATTTGGCAAGGTTCGCCATTGAAAAAGATAAACCAATTTGCTTCATTATTGACTTTCCTTTTGTATGTATTATATGTAAAAATCATGTTACAAGTTTGATTAATTGATTCATTATTCATGAACAAAAACATTGAAACAACTTAAATTTGACTGTACATGCTTCTCAACTTTCTCATTTCAAAAGTTTCTTTAAGGACGAGGCTTAAAATTATTACGCCAAGCACTTCATTAGGAATGACCATTTTTTTTTTGTTGGCCTCTGTCTTTGTCTTTCTTGTGGCGAGCTGTTCCCCTTGACAACTGAACCAAACTTTGAAAAAAGTCACGAATATGTAGTACTTGGCAAAAAAATCAACAATGGAGTGTGGAAGTTCTGACAAAATTTGAAGTTGATGGAATTGACCTTGAAGACTGAACGTATCTTAAATTTTGATTATAAAAAATTAAACCATCAAATCAATGTTACATTTTTCCACAACATAAAAGGAGATTAATGTAATGTCTATTAAATCAAAGTTATTATTATTATTATAATATAATTAATATAATCCCACAATTAAAGTAGAACTCAAAATCTAAACTATGGGCGATTTAGCAAAAAATAAAAAAAAACTATGTGCGATTAAATTATTTTTAATCGATTTCCTAATTAAAATGGGTTTTGGTGTTATTTGTTAAAATTTCAAAAACAAATTTATAAAGATCAAGATAAAATGAGTTGAAATAGAAGTGTTCATTCAAAAAGTTCGGTTAATTTCGAATAAATTGATTTAAAATTAAATTAAATTAATTGAATTATATTATATTATTTTTATTAATTAAAATAAATTATTTAATTTCTAAAATTAAATTTGATTAATTTTTTGATTAATCGAATAATAAAATATATTAAGTTAAATTATATTTTAAAATTTTATTTTTTTCATATGTAAAACAAATTAAATAAAATTATCCAATAAAAATTCAAATACTAAAGTATTAAATTAAAATTCTAATAACTTGAAATGAATAGACAAATTGATATATTTTTAGTTTTAAATATAAATTTTATAATATTTTGGTTAAACTTTCTATTAATTTGATTAATTTGGTTTTTGAACCAAATTAATCAAAAATCAAAATTTTCAAAAATTATTTTCAATACTCAATTAAAATTAATTTAATGATCAACCAATTAACTAAATTAAATCGATTCAATCAATTAATTTAATTAAAACCAAATTATGAACTAAATGAAAGTGTAGGAGCACGTGATAGGTTAATTTTTTGCCTTTGATATTTCTTTCAACCTAGAGCTAAAAGATGGGGCATGTGTTGTTAGAATTAATTGATGACAAAAATAAAACTAATTATCTAACTAAAGTTACCTACTTAGTTTGTTAGAAATGCCAAGTTGTTTCAAGTAATCAAATTCTTTTAAAACATCCGTAACTAAAATCCGAAATGATTTGAATATTTTTATTAGGCTAACATAAAAAAAAAAAAAAACCATTATTTCTATACTATAAAGTAACAAATTTTAGTTAATATTAGAGTAAAATTGGTAAACAAAGACTTATCTTAAGTAATGTTACTCCTCTTTAATAATATTAAAGTCTAATATTTGAATCTTTCCTTCAACATAAGTTTTTTTTTTTTGGTAGTACTCTCTTTGTGTTATAAAGACTGTTTTAATTTGAATTTTAATGATCAAACTTTTTAAACTTTGACTTCATTTTATTTTAAATATTTTACTAATTAAAATGTGAAAAAATTACTTTTCTAAAAATTTTAAATAAAGAAGTTTTCAAATATAATTTTATAAACAAATAATTTAATAAAATTTAAAATAACAATGGTTTAACAAAAACCGAATTGGGTTTACAGGCATGGGGCCTGGCCCGGCCTGAACCGTGATGAATTATTTATGTCGGCCATGGGTAAACAGCGCAGCCGCCAAGGCACGCACAGTTGGGCCTCCATTGTTAACCATTAAAATATAATAAAATAATAAGATATCAAAATGATATAAAAATATATACAATCTAAAATTTTAATAAAATTAAAATATATATTTTATATTTTTATATTAATATAAATTATAATATAATTTTTATATAAATTATTAATATTTTACGAGCTATAAATATACGAAATCTTATTTCCCAATTCAAAATGTGAAGACGTAATCTGTTACGTAACACAGGTCAAAGATTAATGGAATTTGAAGTTTCTCTGCAAGCTACTCCTACTCACGTTGACCACATGATTGCAAAAGTCAAATGTCCTTTTTTTTTTTTTTCCTTTTCTTGAATTAAATTTCACCATTCGCGTCATTGCGCACGTCAAGGCCCTGCCACTCTGTTGCTTTCAAACTTCAGAAATTTTTACTTTGCCAAAAAAAAAAAAAGACACTCTGTTTATTTTACAAGGAAAGATATTCGAATTAAAAAAATTTATTTGAGATGATTTTAACGTATAAAATATAAGTTTATTTTTGGATCAATAAAAAAATGAATTTTAAAATTTAAAAGAGACCAAAACTTATAAAAATTAATCATAAAAAATGTGGATATAAGAAATTAAAAAAGTAAAAAAAAATTATTTTTGATAAAAATAAATGACATAAATAAATTTAAAATTATAATTTAATGTGATTTTTTAATTTTTTAAATAAATAAATTTAAAATTATGAAATATAAAATTTAATTTATTGTTATTGATGAATGAATAGAGAGTTTCTAAATGATTTTCAAACATGCTAACATTTTTTTTTTCCATATAAATGTGACAATAAACTCAACCACGTGGGTACCTTGTCTTGTTCTAAAAAGAAGAAAGAAAGAGCTGTCAGTTGGGTGTAAGTGAAGCACTTGCAGCTACAATAATTCAACAATTATACAAACAATAAATGCACTGGTCTTCCAGCAGAAGATAAGATGGCCATGGGCCATGGACCATTCTTATCTATTTCTTGCATTTATCTTCTTTCTTTATTTTTTACTTTTATGAAAAAAAACTATTTAATATTAAATTAATGAATCATTAGAGCCTACAGCTCACTTGAATTGAAAGATATTTATTAGTTTAGTAATTTTTTTAAGAGAAATTATTTGATATATTGATAATAAAATTTTTTAATTTTATAAATAAGTTAAGATGTGATACACATTTTATTTATTTTTTAAATTAATTTTTTTAAATATATAAAAGATATATGTTTTTATCTTATTTTCATTTATAAAGTTAAAAATTTTTACTGTTAATGTATTTGATAATTTTTTAAAAATTATGAATAAAGTTTAAATTTAAAAATATAAATTATAAAATTAATTGTATTATTATTGAATTAATATTTTTTAAATTATTAGGTGCTTATAATAAAAATTTTGGATAGGATAGGAAATTCATCTTCAATTAATCTATATATATATAAGATTAAATTTTTCTTGGATAATCACCAGAAAAATTGCTCTTTCATTTACCAAAGGGGTGACCTTTGTGGTTTTATTCAATTAATCTATGATTATATTTGGTGTATAAAATTATAATAGAATATAATATAAAATTATAGATAAGATTAAATTATATTATATTATCTTATATTATGTTTAATATGTGTAAAAATTAAAAATAAAATAAATTATTATTTTATTATTTGTCATATTTGTTATATACAAAAAAAGATTAAGACAAGAAAATATTTTTTATTGATCAAAATACCTTGTATATATTAATTTGATTTTTATGTAGTTACAAGTAATATATTTTCTCAAAAATTTTTTAAAAGATCATCTATTAATTAATTAAAAATTGCTCAAATACTTTTTGAATTGATAAATTCTTTCAATAAGTTTGGCTTAAAAAATACTCATAATAAACAAGCAGATGCTTCAAATAACTAATAAATAAATATAAATTCAAATAAATTTATATGTTATTTTATATTAAAAAATTATTAAAAAGTTTATAGCTTATAGTTTAAAAAATATCAAAGTTTGAATTATAAATTACTTGTTTATTTTGAAGAAAATTTGGAGAGTGAAAAATATTTTCAAATATTTAATAATTTTAAATTTTAAATTTTAAATTTAAGAGTATAATAGAAAATTTATTATTTAAAAATTTTGATAAATTATTTAATTTTATGAATTGAAAATAATCATTTACTTTTTAAAGGATAAAATTATTTTATTGACATAAGATATTTAATCTTTTCAATAATTTAATTATTTATTTAAATACATAATAAATATATAATAATATGATTAGTATCTTATTTTTTAAACTAATACTATATGTCAAAAAAATAAATAATGAAAATAAAAAATTTATAAAGTTTCTTCGTAAAGACATTTTTGCCCTTTAGTAGGACAGCCTAGAACTCTTATAAAAATCTTGTTCATCAATTACGAAAAGGCCAAGAAACCACCAGAATATCCACAAACATTTTTTCAGAAAACCTCATTTTCCACGAAATTACGGGGGACACCTGAACCTTTGCCTCCCCTTTAAATAGCAGGTGTCCTCCTTTCTTTCATCCGCACTCTTCTCTATCAATTTTCACATAACCAAATATTATCACAAGCCTTCAAAATCCATGGCTGCTTGCATTGACTCCTCAAGAACAACAGAGCCTTCCCAACTTTCCCAGAGTCCAAACAGGTCTCAAACTGATGAAAACCATTACAAGTTTGTAAATTTCTGCAGACCCACTTTTCCTGATCATGTTTCGACCATCCCCATTAATAAAAACCACACAAAAACCATTCACCCCAGAAAAATTGCTGATTTTTGCTTTGATGAAGAAGAAGGGGTTGATGCTTTATGGCTGAAAATGAAAGAAGAAGCAAGGCTAGATGTTGAGCAAGAACCCATCTTGTCAAATTATTATTACAGCTCAATTTTGTCTCAGAATTCATTAGAAAGTGCTTTAGCAAATCATTTGTCAATCAAGTTAAGCAATTCAAGTCTTCCTAGTAGTACTTTATTTGATATTTTCATGGCAGTGCTTGTTGAAGATCAAGGAATTATAAAAGCTGTTAAGGAAGATTTGAAAGCTGTTAAAGAAAGAGACCCTGCCTGTGTAAGTTATGTGCATTGCCTTCTGAACTTTAAAGGGTTCCTTGCATGTCAAGCACATAGGGTAGCACATTATTTATGGTCACAAGGGAGGAAAGTTTTGGCCTTGTTGATACAAAATAGGGTGTCTGAGGTTTCTGCTGTGGATATTCATCCTGGGGCTAAGATTGGGAGTGGGATATTGCTTGATCATGCTACTGGAGTTGTTGTTGGAGAGACAGCTGTAGTTGGAAACAATGTGGCAATTTTACATAATGTGACATTAGGAGGAACTGGTAAGGTTTCTGGTGACAGACATCCAAAGATCGGTGATGGAGTTTTGATTGGTGCTGATACTTGTATTTTGGGGAATATTAACATTGGCGATGGAGCTAAGATTGGTGCTGGCTCTGTGGTGTTAAGGGAAGTGCCTCCGAGGACTACTGCAGTAGGGAATCCAGCTAGATTGGTAGGAGGCAGGGCGAACCCTATAAAGCTTGACAAGATTCCAAGTTTTACTATGGATCATACTTCACATATTATTGAGTGGTCTGATTATGTGATTTAGAGGGCTAATTAATTTTCCTTTTTAAAGTTTTGGAAATTTAACTTCCTTTTGTTTGTGTTATAAGAGAGAATTGAAGTTCTCCTACTAGCAAACGAAAGAGTTTCTAAGCTAGCTTAATTATGTTGTGATATAATAGGAGAATTGAAGTTCTCCTTTTACATATGCTAAGCTGGCTTAATTATGCTATGATATAGCCAGTTTTGCTGTAAGTACAATATATAATAGTATGTTGCTTTTTTATATTTATAATTTACTTTGGTTTTTCATCAGAAATGGACTCAAATTCATGCTATTTTTGTCAATAATATGAGAGCTCTGTTTTTTATTGCCGACTAACCATTTTATAGCAATTAAAGTAAAATTTTGTTAGGAAGGTAGCAATGAAATCTAATAAGAATGTTTAGTGTTGTATCCTTGTGTTCTGGAATCCAACCCTTAACTATATTCCACAGAGGTTTCTGGAAAGTTTCACCTGAAATGAGGTGCAGATGCAGGGGAGGTTATATGAGAATAGAAGAATGATATAAGTTATGATGGCATAACTTCATTTGTTGGTATGGTGTATGGGGCGGCTAATGTATGGTTTGTAGCATAGCCAAAAAGGTTCCTTTAATTTATATTTTTTTTGTTGGATGATAAAAAAGGTTCTGTTTTGTCATTTTCTAGTGCACTAATGCCAAGTTCTTGTGCAAAAATATTTTAATCATAACATAATAGTGTATTTTTCTTATGAGGAACGAGAAATTTGAATTTGAGTTTTCCTTTTCCTTTTCATCTTTTCCAGCCAGTTGGTATTGTTGGTTTGTATTATACTTTTACTCTACCAAGATATGAATATGTCAATCATGTGATCTTGGATAATAGATATGGAACTCTATTTTTAAATCAAATCTATTTGTGAAAGCAAAACTATGGCGTGAAGATATTGTCTGTATTTGAAAAAGAAGGTTAGTGATTTCATCAAGCCTCCTATTAGTATTTGAGAAGATCTGGGAAAGGTTTGTTCTGAGCATTAGATATGGTGTAAAATTCTTTGATATCACTTTTGCTGCTTGTGGGAATTGCATTAGAATTTTAGTGCTTATTACTGAGCTTTTGAGTTTTGACCATCAGTTTCTGGTCCAAAACTTTTGACGTTTAAGCTAATCATGCCAAATCAGGTTATGGTATATACAAATTGACAAGGTTGAGAAGGTTGTTTTTATTTTGATGTTGCATCCAGAATGATTCTTTGCATTTTGTTGTCCATCATGCACAGAACTCAGTTCTGTTTTGAGCTCATCTTAAGCTGATATAAAATTTTAGGAATACTAATGATAAATCAGATTATGGCACACTATTCATGTGCAAACGAGTGGTTTCTTAAATAGCATCCATGTGCCAAGTCATTTTTAAGAGGCAAGCAAGTAGTAAGAATCTGCATGCTGCATAAATTCAGAAGAAATGCAATTGAATCAGCAATGTCTGAAGTGTTTTCCTGTAGCGTTCTTTAGTTTTGCCATGGATAAACCAAGTACAGTTGTTCTTGTTCTCTTCACGTTCCTTCTGTTCATTTTCATTGTGTTTAAACTATGGATAACGTCCAAAACAAAAATCACCCGAAAATCAACCACCTGCACCATGGAAACTACCTGTTGTAGGACATATGAACCTTTCAATTTTCTCCCTACCCCATCACCGCTTGAGAGAATTAGGTCAAAGGCATGGTTCCCCGACCCCGATGCAACTAAAACTTGGTGAATTATCACACATTGTAGTTTCTTTTCCAGAGGCTGCTAAATAAGTGATGAAAACATCAATTTTTCTATCAGGCCCTGAATGCTTGCTGCAAGAATCAGGTTCTATAATTTTACAAATATTGGTTATGCACCATACGGAGGCTATTGAAAGCAGCTTCGAAAAATTTGCACATTGGATCTGTTCACTACAAAACGTGTATAATAGTTCCAATCAATCTGGAAAGAGCAGGTATCAGACCTGATTAGATCCATCTCTTCTAGTACAGGATTGTCAATCAACCGGGATTATAGTTCAAGAATTTAATCTTACTTTTTAGATTATTTGACACCACTGCATGATGTTTCCATTGCTTGGTGTGATACATAATCAAAAGCTTTAGCTTATTCCAAAATTTCAATTTTTGGATTGAATTGATCGATTTTTGACTAGTCTCGAATTAATTGTAACAATCGAATTTTGAGACAAATTAGCTCTAATTAGTCAAATTTCTGAATTGACCGGTTTGAGTCAAGTTACCAAAGAAAAGGATCAAAGAGTGAGAGGCAAATAGGGAAATGTGAATAAAATGGAAAATTATTGGAAAAACACACTGTTTGAAAATTAATTGGCCATAAAATTTGCCTTTTTTGCCTCATTCAGTCATTCTTGAGATTTTGAATGAAGATTTGATACAATAATTAATTATCAAGGTGCCTAATCTTCATTTTCCTTTTTTTTTTTCCCTGAAATCCCCATTTTCCTCTTCTTAATAGATAAGAACAAAAACTAGTTATACGAAATTATCACCCAAAGAAGAAAATCAAGTTACCTATAAGTTATCAAATCAACGAAATTGGAAACGCCTCAAATATTAAAATTTTCAAGTTTAAATCTCAATATTAACTCAAAAAACCAAAAAAAAAAAGAAAAAAAAAAGTAAACTATGCCATGTGAGAATAGTTGATATGTACCTATGCCCTAAATTAAATTTGAGATCCCAAATTGTAAATTTCGATTTAAATATTTAAATCTACTCATCGTCCAACTCCCTTTTATTGTCCTTAGATCTCTAGTTCGTTATTATCGCTAGGTCGAACAGCTCCACGCCTATTGCATTAACCCTTTCGAGTTGAAACTTGAAAGAAAACAACAATTACTTAAATAATTACTCATGCAAGAATTGTCAAAGTACCTTTTTTCAGTCCAAAAAAGGGTGGTATTACCTAACAAGATTTTAAAAGAAAAGAGTTACTTGAAATTTTATAAGTAAAATTTGTTAGAGATTTTTAAAATAAAATATCGAAAATAATCTCATGTTAAAAAAAAAAAAAAGATAGATAATTAAGTTTATTTAAAATAAATAGATAAATCTATTCATAATAAATAGTTAAAAATATATAGTTTTTATCTATTCAAAATAGACAATTATTTGTGAAAATTTTGTTGCCATGATTTCCGAGATCAATATCCTTGAAAATGATTAATCTTGGTGGGTTGATTTTAGGGCAATAAAACATGTGTGCAAAGACAAAAGTATGTTCACAACATTCAAACCAAGTGAATATGACTGTGTCCTCTGCATGAGAAACTCTTCTACAGCAACAATCAAAGGTAAATTGACTATTGATCTTGAATTCACTTTTGAAAAAACTATAACTTTGAATGATATTTATTATATACCAAAAGTTAGGAAGAACTTAGTGTTAGGAAGTTTGTTGAACAAGTTTGGTTTTAAACTTGTATTTGAGGTAGATAAATTTATTTTATCTAAAAGAAAAATTTTTATTGGGAAAGGGTATATGTATGAGGGAATGTTCAAACTCAATATTATTAATAAAAATAAGAATGTTGTTTTTGCTTATATAGTTTAATCTTTATATTTATGGCATTATAGATTAAGTCATTTAAATTATAAAAAATTGCATAATATGAGTAAGTTTATGTTAATTCCTGAATTTAGTCAAAATATTAATAAATGCAATACATATATGTTGACTAAGATTACCAAAAATAGTTTTTTTAAGGTTAAAAGAAATACAAATTTACTTGAGTTAATTTACAGTGATGCTTGTGATATGCATAATACTCTTGCATTATCTGAAAAGAAATATTTTCTCATATTTATAGAAGATTGTACTAGATATTGTTATGTTTATCTATTATATTCCAAAAATAAAGTACTTGATAAGTTTAAAATATACAAATATGAAGTTGAACTTCAGTATGAATTTTTTATCAAGTGCTTTAGGTTGAATAGGGGTGGAGAATATTATAGTCCAAGTTACTTTGAATCCACCAGTATAATCCACCAAGTTATTGCTCCTAATACACCACAATCGAATTGTGTAAGTGAAAGGAAGAATAGGGTTTTAACAGAAATGGTAAATGAAATGTTATTATATTATGGTCTTAGACAAGGACTTTAGGGTAAAGCTTTATTAATAACTTTTCATATGCTAAATAAAATTCCTAACAAAGAAACAAAAATAACCTCATATAAGCAATGGAAGAAAAGAAAACCAAATCTTAATTATTTAAAAGTTTGGGGATGTAGAGCTGTAGTTAAAATTTCAGAACCCAAAGGAAAAATGTTGGGTGAAAGAGGAATAGAATGCATATTTATAAGATATGCACAAAATAGTGAAGCATATAGGTTCATGATTATTGAACCAAATGATTCAATTTCAGTTAACATTGTTATTGAATTAAGAGAAGTAATTTTTGATGAAAAAAGATTTAAATATATTTTGAGAAAACTACAAGCAATTCATCATACATGTGAAAAAGAAATTCCTAATCCATTGGAACAAACTAAAATTAGTGATAAATCTTGTTAAGAAATAAGGACAAGTAAAAGGGTTAGAAAAGCAAAAAATTTTAGACTAGATTTCTTCATAGTCCTTATGGAAAGGATTAGTGAAAGCATAAACAATAAAATTCCTTATTGTTTTAATATAAAGTCTGATCTTGTTACATATGAAAAGGCAATGAAATCTCAAGATTTTACTTTTTAGAAAGAAGTAATAAATGATGAAATAGACTCAATAATGGCAAATAACACATCGATTTTGTTTGACCTTTCACCAAATTCTAATCCAATAAAATGTAAATGGATTTTCTAAAAGAAAATGAAGGTGGATGGAGCCATAGATAAATTTAAAGCAAGGTTGGTAGCCAAGGGCTTTACACAAAAGCAAAGGATGGACTACTTTGATACTTATGCTCTAGTAGCTAGAATCACTATAATTAGGCTTCTAATTTTATTTGCCTCAATTTATAATTTGATTATACATAAAATGGATGTAAAGACGACATTTTTAAATGGTGAATTATATAGAACAACCAAAAGGATTTATCATTCCAAATTAAGAGTATAATGTTTGTAAGCTTGTAAAGACCTTGTATGGACTTAAACAAGCACCAAAACAATGGCACCAAAAGTTTGATGAAATCGTTCTTGCTAATGATTTTAGAATTAATGAGTTAGATAAGTACATGTATAGCAAATTTGAAAATGGCAAAGGAGTCATATTTGTTTATATGTGGATGATATG